CAGGATCGCCCGCCGTATCGCCGCAACGCCAGCTCCGCCCTCCATAGATACACTTTTGAATATAGAGATTCCCCTTTGCTTTTACAAGTAATGGCCTCTTCTTCATTCATTTGTATAATTATACTTTCCCCTTGGGTGCCCAGTATATAACTTTCCATATGTTGTGGGACTCACAGTACCTTATTCTGTTGGGCATGTTGACTAGAGTTGCTGAAATTTGTGATCCAGTAATTCAGGGGCCACTAGTACCTTGTGGCAGTTACTTCTAGAAGTCACTAAGCATTCTGTATTTTCTTTTAATTTTTACTTGGATGACTTCAGACTTTCCTTTCATTCTATGTTCTTGTATACAGTACATAACTTTATTGATCTCTCTCATCTCATTCACCCAAGTCTTAGATGTTACAAATATTCCTATAGAGCCTGGCTTTCTTTGGAGAGGTCCATTTGCCTGTAAAAATATACATCTGGTTCTCACCTTGTTACCCAAGAAAATAATAAAAATATTGGCTATTCCTAACCCAAGAACTCTAGTTGCACCATCTAGCTGCACACCATGCTGTATTATCCCAACTTAGGCCTATACCCCACGTGGGGCTTTTAACTTCTGCACTCTCTGTTGGTCATCATGGGCAGTCTTGTGGAAAGTTCAAGCAGCTTCAGTTTCTCCCAACATATTCTTCATGACTATCCATCCCCATCACTGTAATACTTCCTTGTCAGACGACTCAGCTTAGAAAAGTTGAGATTTTAGAGTCACAGTGTCAGGTCTTGTTGCAATAATCAGCATTGACCTTTCAGCTTTGTTGGTCAGTTCCAAATTGTCAGAGGCATCAATGTCTTCTATGGTGAAGTGCTTGCTTGAATACTTGTAGCCTGCTGAGCATTTTATGAAGGGATAAGTTCCTGTGTGGTAAATTCTCTGTTCCTAAACAGATGCCAAAACACTGGCCTTTGGAAAAGAAGGATTATTAACTTGCTCAGGTTGTGATTTCTAAGCAAAGTCCTTTGTGAACTCATTTCACACCTCTTACCTTTCATATTTGATGTGAAAGTCCTGGCCTTTGTGAGGCCACTTGCTAATGGCTTAAAAGATTTGAGAAAGCTGATTCACATCAAGCCCACAGGTAAAAAGCGGCAATGCATGGAGAGGCCGCAACAGATGCAAGAGGGGGAAGGGAGTGATTTGCGTTCAGGCACCAAATGTCTTTAGAATTGCTGCCTCATTTTTCATAGACCTTCATTGGGATAATCAGTTGGGCTTTGACCAGCTAACCAAAACTTTCACAAGAAAGGAGAGGATTCTCAAATGCAATTTTTTTTTTTTTTTTGCCCATGTTGAAAGCAAGCTAGAAACCATAAAGAAAGAGGGAATTAGGTCCAACATTGTCATGATACATTTAGCAGTGCCTTTCTCTCATTTGGGCTTAAAGATGGGAGTAGTCAGGTACCTTGTGACCTCAGCAAACATACTCACTGTTCTTCCTCCTCTATTTGGAGATTCTGATCACATATTTAATACGTTACATTATTAGAAACTCACTTTAGTGAGAGACAGAGAAAGGGAGAGAAATGATAGTAACCATCCAACCAACCAACCAACCAACCAACCAACCAACCAGAAGGCACTGATTTTATGAAATAGTGAAGTTAAGATTTAGGTTTTAGAAATCAAGAGATGTTTTTCACTTTCTAAACATGATCATGACATAAAAATAGGATGTCAGCATTAAAACAGCAATATTGATTTCATGAGTTATTTGATAGTATTTGTTGAAAGTCAAATAATAAGTGGTACATTGAGAATATGTGACTTGTTAATTGACAAAGACTTTAGCGCTAGTAAGAGAACAGATCAATCTCATATAAAAGAAAGAAGAATTCCTGTGGAAGTCTCATAAATAATGGTGGAAATTAATGGCCATATAACTTTGATAAATAAATAAATAATCTAAAAATAGCCATTGAAGTTTCACATACGTTAGAACCTTTCCATAGTTCAGGGCTTAGAGGGTGGACCTAGCATTAACTTTTTGAGCTCAGTTGCTCCTGTATGAAGTTATTCAGAAGCCTGAAGGAGATAAAAGAAGAAACTATCACCAGCTTCATGGTCATCCAATTTGATATCAAATAATATGTTTGGGTGAGTTTGAAGCGTATTTGAACCACCTCTCCTCATTATCTGGAAGGAGACATACTATTTTGTTCTTCCTCTCAGATAGTTATGTTAGTTACTTCCATTCTGCTCAAACTATCTATACTTTGGTTGTCCCCAGTAAGAAAATATAGTCTGTAGCTGGACTAAGGTGTATATCCACTGACTGGGAAAAATTGCAACTTGGATTCACTTTTGTCTATGGTTCTGGTTGTAAGTCTGACACTTATATATAAGTGGATAAGGGGATGTTTAACAAATGGAGAGTCTTCTCAAATAGCTAACTTACATTTGAAAGACTTTAGCACATGACTGACTTTGAATTTTAATTTTTATTAAAGATGTTAAGTACAATAGTAAAAGCAAATACAAATTAAACTCAGAAAAAGAGAGAGAATAAAAAGTGCAAAGAAAGAAGAAGAAAAATAGGAAAAAAAGAAAAGTAGAATAAAGAAAAAGAAAAGAAGTATGTAAAGAAGTCTTCATCACAAGTAAAAACAAATTTGATAATTGATCACCCACTATAAAGTTGCAAACAAATATCTCTTCTTCCGATAACTCTTCCCATATCTTTATGCAAATCCATATATCATCAATTTTTCAGTCCTAGTGCCAGCAAAAAGTCTGTAAAGGGTTACCAGAGTTTTATAAAAACATGTCTTATTTT